TTTTTTTTTATTTGCTGAAGGGAGGCAGAGTGCTTGCTATGACTGTTGAATCAATATTTACAGTTCTAGATTCTGACCCTCCTTAATCTCTTATTTTCAGGTACTACCACAAACTCCCTCATCAGAGCTGTACAAGGCAATGAAAACAGCAGTATTGCAACACGCTCATAGAACTTGATAATGAATACTGGGAGAAATAATTCTAATTAATTATTTGAATGATTATTCAGATAAGCATTCTTTTAATGAATAATTTCTCAATTAGGTGCAAACCTAGCAATGGGGAGCAATCAAGATTAACAATTGGTGATTCTACAATTCTAAGTGTACCAAAAGCTTTTGTGCACTCCTATACCCAAAGAAACAGGTTATGTTTACAGATTAACGTGTATGTTTTATGCTTTTCTTAAGTAGGAAATCTGTTTCAATATGAAGCCATTGATGTGGCACTACTTAATGCCCAGGGAAGGATACAGTTTAAATCAAAACAAAAAAGAGAAAGGTTGGATTAAAGTTATTTGTCTTTGAAAGCATTTCCTTTCTCACAGAGCCCTAAATATAAACCATTTTGTTCTGATTCCTGTAAAGTCATGGCGACACAAAGTCGGTATGATATGATCTCATTGAAAATAAAGATCCTTAGAAGGGGAATAATTTCTTTGCTGCTACAGTCTCAAGGATTTTCATTTTATTCACTATGTCTGCATGCGTTTATGGTAAAGAGCAATGTAGGCATGTTTATTATTATATTATAAAGTTTTTACAGTAATTTGTCATATGATTGCTTATTTTCATCTATCTATAAAGGTACCTATTTAATACAGACAGTGTCTTATATGAGTGTTTCCAAATTCTGGTCCTCAGGATGCACAATCCAGCAGATTTTCCATGTCTCTTTGAAGTATCAGCAGGTTTAGGTTGTGTCCCTTAAACATTAATTTGTCCATTGAAACATCGATTTCACAATTCCAAATGAAGAATTTAAGAAGCCATAAAGAACCTTGTTTCAAGATTCCAAAGACCTCTTCTATAAGAATAAATACTTTAAAGGATTCTTGCATTTGTTTTTGTCACCATGTTTATATTTTAAAATAAAAATATTTGAGAAAAGTATCTGGAACCAATATAGTTGAGTTCCTTCCCAACTTTGGCGAAAAGGCTTGACTTTTTCTGTCCTTATTTGGTACCGAGCTGTGGCCAGCTATTACAAATGCCTTTCTTAAAATAGTGAAGCCCAACAGTGAAAGGAGTTATAAGTATTTTTATATTAATTTAAATTTAGCAACTGGTTAATAGAACATTATGCTTGTGTGGAGGTTCACATGAGTAAAATTAGATTTGTTTTAAATGGAAGGTAAAGCCTAGGCCATTGTACAGGCATAGTTAATTTGTCAACATCTGAGACAGATGGCTTTTTATTCTGTGTATGATCAAGACCAAGGGTCTCATACTCAGTTCTTGGAGGACCTACTGTCTTCTGGTTTTTATTCTACAGGTTCTAATTATATAATTAACTGCACCATTTTAAAAGCATTCACCCAGGGTTCTAGTGTTTTATATAGGCAACTATTGACATGAATATTTTGAATAATTAACTGGAAAAGACTGCATGTAGAAAATTGTATAATACTGTATGTACAGCTAAACAATCATTAGGTTGTTTTATTGACTATTTAGGTTGCAGTAAAACCCACAAGACAATAGAGAAAAGCTAGCCAGTCCTTATTCTGCTTTAGAGGGTTAGTATATCTACTGGTTTTAATTTCAATTAATCTCTTAACCTGTTTAATCAGGTAGTTATAAACTGAACTGGCTAAATCAAATTTAAGTTTATTCTAGTTCTTCAGGTGCTGTGTCTTTAAAAAAATCTAGAAAACCTGTTCTAACCCATACAGCAGTGGGGTTTGATACCCTTGATCACAGATTCATTTAGTTAGACTAAGAATAATTGTCTTAAGAAACATAATTCTTAACTTTTGAAAATGCTGGTTAAGTAGATCAACACCAATAGAAAGACTAATGATGGATTAAATAACGATACATGCAAATTAAAGCACATTTATAACTTTTTACTGTCAAACATGTCTTTGGGGAAAATATCCATAGAATGAACCATAGCATCCTAAAAATAACAAATGTTTGCACCTCTTCAGACACTAACAACGTGTATAGAATTTTCTCAGTGTGTGATGATGGCAGTGTGAAACAGGACTGATTTGCAGAAGCTCTGATTCACACTTCTTGAATCTGCCGTTTGTCTGTGACAAAAGTTTCAAGTCTGTCCCAAGATTTTTTTGCTTTTGTCTGTCATTGTTTTCTGAGTTTTTTTGGCAGGGAAGATTACAATATGCCTTTACTAATATGTGACCCTTGTCTCATCCAACAAATAAACGATGATGCTCGTCCTTAAAATCCTTGCAAACTAAATGAAAATCAGATAAACATACACATCTGTTGAGTCTGAAAAGCATTTACATTTAAAGTTGCCTTTACATTTTTATGTAAGGGAACCATTTGGATGAATTTTTTAGTCATTTGACAAACCGACAGCGTTTTCAGTTCAGTTTCTTTTAGCAGAGAAACGGGAATTAATTGCAAGGATGGTTTAGTTTTGTAAAAAAATAAATGTTCAATACATTTAAATGTTTGCATAAATAATCTAGGCTACATATAGTTGTTATTTAATGTAGGAGGCTCCTTCATTACTTTGTCAGATTTACTTAGGTTATGATTCCAAGACGGTAGCCTATGTACAAATTCATGTGTTCTCTGTAAAGATTTAGGTGAAGATGCGCAGGATCCGATTTTGGTAAAGAGTGGAAGAAAAACTTTAACTTTTGCTTCAGTTATACTGAAGTATAAGTCCATAAAATGCATGTTGCCTGGAAAATTCACTTAAGAGAGAAACTGATCGTGTAGTGTGTTTGTTCTACATGGTGGGTTATCTTCACTTTGACCCCAGAAATAAAACATCCAAAGCTTTTATTCCTCACAGCCCTCTTATTAAAACAACAAAATGTAAATGTTGTGTGCCCATTACAATTCTTATATGAAGCTACCAACTACAGTTTTCATTTTTTGTTATGGTTTTAAGCCATGTTCTCTGATTGATCCTGTATTTGTTTTGCAATTGTAAGAACATCGCTCCTAAACACAGTGATGTAAGTTTTGATGTTCTTTATTTGTTCAAGGTGTGTACTCTTGCTTAAGGAATATATCTCTTTTTGTCTTTTAGCTAAGCCTTTCACTTCTAAAGTGAAGCAGATGCGTCTGCACAAAGAGGACTTTGAGATTCTGAAAGTGATTGGTCGGGGAGCCTTTGGTGAGGTAAGCATCTGTCCTGGTTTTAAAATTTCCAGTTTATCCTTGAAAAAATATTATATTCATGTGGTGCCATGGAAACAACTAAGACTGTATCACAGTTTAATCTATTTAAGATGTGAGCTGCTCTCTGTTACAAATGTTGCTGACTAGGTAGAAAAGTAATGTATTCAGCATTACCCTATTTTCTCATTTGTTTAGGCAAATTAATTGCACATAAGGTAGCAAGATGAAATCTAGATTTTGATGTCAACTTAACATTGGAACCATCAGCATGTAATATATGCAGTTGGATCTGTCTGCTGTGTAGTAAAATCTTCAAGTTGTGAGTGTTGCACATTTTTGCAGTCATTTAAAAATCTGGTAGCATGACAGAACTTGACAAAACACCAAAAAATGACCCTTTTCTCTTCCAAAAAAGCCCCGGGCGAAGCACATCATTTTCCATAGAAGAAGCCACAGTTGTTTTTCTTTGACTGTTGTATAAGAGGTGACAGCTCAATATCAGTAAGCAGTTAAATTATTTCTGTTTGACTTTGTGGTAGAAGATGCACATTTATATTGTGTTTACTGCCAACAAAGGACACTAATAAAAAAAGATGTGTGATTACAACCATTTTTGTGAGAAAGAATGCTCAAAAAGCAATTGTGCACATTCAACATGATAAATTTCAAAGCATGTCAAATTATTTCACAGACTTATGAGCTCAGTGGGTTGGAAACTCTGTGTAGTTAGATTTTCAAAGATATGCAACTAAATATTTTGTTGAGTATGTTTTTGTTTAAATGTGAGCAAAGGTATAGAACTTTCTAGAAATAAAATGTCTTATATTGTACTTATTCTTCATATTATATTTCATGATCACAAATACAAATTGCTAAACTGTAAAGCAAAAATAACATAGCAATAAGTTTTGATTTTGTTGTCCAATTATTTTTGGAGGTCACCCATATGTGCTTGGAAAACTAATGATTCCCAGAGCACAAATTCTGCAGAAGGCTGAAATTGATTACAAATCCTTAACCTTTTTGGAAGAAAATGCAAAATACTCAGATGCAGGATGCGTTACAAAATGTATATCTTGATTTTCAGAAAGCCTTTAACAGGGTACAGGATCTCATGCATTACTAGCCATTTCTGTAAGCTTATATTGTAAAAATTAATGGTTTTCTTTGTAGATGAATTTAAAACTGGCTTCTGCTGAGGTAAGAGCTAAAGAAAGAGAAGCTCTTACAATAATCTGAGCATCTGTGTTATCTACTATAAAGTTTTTTTTTTGCACATCACATAAGCTTCTTCCATCCAACAGCATCTACTTGCTCATTCTTAAATCCTACAATTAAACAACATTTTTTCTCCTCAATCAGTCAGGGGTTTCTTCCTTTGAATGGGCCCAATGATTGCAAACACAGTAGAAAATGGGAGGAAAGTCAATCACATCTTTGGGAGCCCTCTAAATCTTTTAGAAACTTTCAGCTATTTAGATTTTTTAAATCCTTTATTTTCACACCTTATTTTATGGGAACTGTTCGAATTACATTTTATGTCACTTTAAGACACATCTGTGTACTTTTCAGGTTTAGAAAGGAACCCTTCTTGCTTCTAGTTTACAGTTGCAAGAAAATGTTTGTGAAACCTTTGGAATTACCTGGATTTCAGCATTCAGCTTTATTAATAATAATAACAACAATAATTGCTTACACTTATATAGCACTTTTCTGGACACTCCACTCAAAGCGCTTTACAGGTAATGGGGACTCCCCTCCACCACCACCAATGTGCAGCATCCACCTGGATGATGCGACGGCAGCCATAGTGCACCAGAACACTCACCACACATCAGCTATCAGTGGGGAGGAGAGCAGGAGGCCATGATTGGTAAGGGCCAATTGGAAATTTGGCCAGGACACTGGGGTTACACCCCTACTCTTTTCGAGAAGCGCCCTGGGATTTTTAATGACCACAGAGAGTCAGAACCTCGGTTTTACGTCTCATCTGAAGGACAGCACCTGTTAACAGTATAGTGTCCCCGTCACTATACTGTGGCATTAGGACCCACATGGACCCCTGCTGGCCCCACTAACACCTCTTCCAGCAGCAACCTTAGTTTTTCCAAAGAGGTCTCCCATCCAGGTACTGACCAGGCTCACACCTGCTTAGCTTCAGTGGGTTGCCAGTTGTGAGTTGCAGGGTGATATGGCTGCTGGCCATATTAACCTAGACTGTGAATGTTTAAGCATTGTGTTCAGTACTGACAATAAGAACTACAATTGTTTGTGTGTTATTAGTTTAAGCAGATTGTGTTGGTCTATTATTGTGACTTAGTTGAAGATCAGACCACATTTTTATGAGTAATTAATGCAGAACTCCAGGTAATTCCAAAGGGTTTACAATCTTTTTCTTGCAACTGTACTGTATGTCTCCCAGACTTAGCTCATGCTATGCCTTTCAAGCTTACAGAGTGCCATAGTACACCCGTTCAATCTCTCACCCAGTTTCTGATTTAAATTAACCCTAGCCACTCTTTCTAGCTGAAGAACCAAATTCTCTTTGATGTTGGGTGGAGACTGAGATACGTACTCTAAAACTGTACTTTGCTTTATTACTTTGTAGAAATTGTAACAAGGAGTTTGGTTTGATCACATTTTGCTGGGAAAAAAACTGCAGCCTTTTCTGGTGTTCAAACAACGGAAGTAATTAAAGAGAAAGTGCAAGACATTTATGTTAGCCGAAGAATTTGAATGTGTGGTAATGATAAAGACTTATGCATTTTAAGACCCTGCACTCTAAGCTTCTAGGGAATACAGGAAGGAGATAAAATGCTTTGCTTACACACATACTGTAGTTAAAACTGTAAAATAGAGAAGTCATGTAGGGGTTACTCTATATTGAAACTGTACAGTACCCTTATTTGACCACATGTGAAATACTGCTTACGAGTCTAATCTCCACATTGCGAAAAAGACATTAAAAGAGCTGGTTTAGAGAGAGAGCAACTAGAAAGATTCCAGGGATTAAGTATAATTTATGACTCAGGCATATTAATACACTCTTAAGCTCTCTATAAATGGCATCTGAGAGGAGATTTGATTAAGGTTTTTGGAGGTATAAAAGTAATAAAGTTGTTTCTTTTAGCAAGAAGAATGTAATATCAAGCTTGTCTTGAAGTGCATTGCATGATGTGCAGTTTGTACCACAGCCTGCAATTGTACAGAACCCCATATTGATGAAATTGCTGTTCGACAGTCGTTGTTTTCTTGATGCAAGTTACATTTATAACATTTCCATCACGTGCCGTGGAATCCTCAGATGCACCTAGCGGAGTGTGCTGGAGAGGAGAGAGCCTGACGGGATTACCATAATAAACCACATTCCAGGGCTTTTGCTAACTTGGCAGCTGTTTCTTAGTCTGAGCAACTCTCCTTTGGTTAGTCTTCCTTTGTCTGGGGCGCTTTCTCCTGTTTCCTATGCTTTACAAAGCCATGCTTACATTTCCCTTCACTTAAGCACATTATTTCATATTTACATACAGTATGTGCGTTGCTATTTGAAATATTTTACTTGCTGTTACCATAGTTTGAAAACTCACCTCGCTCACACAGTATTGAAGTGGAGCATTTTAAGTGAGGAATTGTTTTGACTTTCAGTTACATTTTGGAGACATTTATAATAATGCTAAATACATTTATTTGTAAATTAAAAAGAGACTTTATTCATTGTGCAAAATCTGTTGTTTAATCCCAAGACAAAACCATGAATGGCAATTTCAGTTGCTTTCATTCAATGACTTGAAGGATCGTGTCAGCTTTATTAGTTTAACAGGAAATCAGAAAACTGGTGAGACAATGTTTTAAACAGCATCTTTTAATTAATTTGTTTAGGATCTGATATTTTTGATGAGTGCATTAAGTGTTTTCAAATAATTCAGTATGAAACATCTCTTATACTAATGTAGTAAAGCAGTCATCTGTCTTGTTTAGAATGTTTATTTTAGCTAATTCTGTTATTTTTTGTGGTGTGGGTCAGATATTACAATTTTATATTGTCTTTGCATTGGTGGGCACCATAAAAGGCACTGCCACACTTGTAAGGCTAGCTTAGTGTGAATGGTAATGTTTTTTTATTTGACTGTGACTAATATGATGGTTAATGGCCAAAGATTATAATTTGCAAATTATAACTCTTTATAATAAAAGGTTTGTCCTGGTAGTAAGAATTATATGTTTTATCACAAAATATTTAAAGTATTTTTGTGTAAAAGATATTTTCCACAAATTTTGTATTACGATCTCTGGTTTTGGCTTTGTTTGGTGCAGTGCTGTAGGTTTTAGGGAGGTAGTTTTGGAACTATTAAGGAAGGATATTACATGGTAAAAGGAGAATCTACTACTGTTTGGGTTTTTTAAATTTGAAATTATGAAGTGTTACCAGTTTATGACAAAATCCAAGGAATGATTTTCAAACAGGATCCTGTTCCCCCCCAAAAAGTCTTATAGGGAAAAGAGGATAGTGGACTGAAACAAATAATTTAAATTGAGACAAATATTAGGTAGGGTAAAATGGATAACAATAAACTGATGTTATCATTAATAAAGAAGTACTACCCAATATTTGAATTTTATGTAAACCAAAGCATTGAAAATGTATTTCCATTCCTAGAATTTGAAGGAAACACTGCATTGTATTGAATTGATAAATGAGCATGTGTTTGTGCTTTCTGACATTGTTTAAACAGGCATGATGCTGATTTCTGCAGATTTGTTCCTTCGAGAGATTTATTGTTCTTGTCTTCTGTTTTCTGAAGAATTAAGAAGTAAACTGCAAGTGCAATCGTGTGTAATGAAAGCAGAGAATATAGACATGATGATGTTATTGTGTGCACAGACATCAAGGCTTTTGAAAGGGACAACACAAAGTCAATTGGGTTCAAGGTTAATTTAGTGCTGGGATGTAGCAGATGGGAGGTGTTCCAGGTTTGGATTAATAGAGGGGTCTGGGATGTCAA